GTGTTAAATAAAGAGTGTCCCCTAACTTGTCTTTTTTATTTAACAGTAGTTCACTTTTCATGCACAGACAGTCCCCACCTTAGGATATTAGACTTAATGATTTTTTGACTTTATGATGGTGTGAAAGGAATACACATTCCATAGAAACTGCACTTGGAATTTTGACCTTTCCCTAGGCTGTGATATGTAGTAGGATCCTCTCGCGATGCTGGGCATTGGCAGCTCCCAGGTAGCTGTGCGACCGTGAGAGTAAACAGCCGACACACTGACAACCATTCTGTTTTCCACTTTCAGTACAGTATTCAGTACATTACATGAGATATTCAACACTTTATTATAAAACAGGCTTTGTGTTAGATGACTTCGTCCAACTGTAGGTTAATATAAGAGCCCTGAGAACAGTTAAGTGGGCTAGGCTAAGTAAGCTGTGATGTTTTGGCAGGTTAGGATTTTCGACTTAGGATACTTTCAACTTACGATGGCTTTCTTGGGATATAACTCAAGGAAGATCTGTAATTTCTTGGTCTGGTTTTGCATCAGGATAATGCTGACTTCATAAAATGAGTTGGGAAGTGTTCCTTGCTTCTCTCTTCTGGAAACACTTGTGTAGAGTTGATTTATTCCTTAAATATTTGGCAGTGAAACCATTTGGGCTAGGTCCCATCTTGATCATATTCTAGCTGTATATCATCCCCAAGAAAGCGGTCCCTAAGTAACCATCTGAAGCTGTGTAGGTCTAGAAACTTATTCCTGTGAGCACAACCAGATCATTCTGGCTCCCAGGACTATCTTGAGCTAATCAAATGAGACTGCTTTTTCAAGCCCCCACTGAGTCAGGAACTGTACCAAGAGTTCTATATTTACATTATTTTATGCATTCTGTGATTTAAAATGCCAATATTTACAGTGAAGGACATAGCTCTCCAGTAACCACAATGTGTGTGTTCTCTGTCTAGAGCAGGGCTTCAGCAAAGTCCTGCCCAATTCAGCTGGCTGCTTGTTTTGTTTTTTGGAGGACTGCTGTGCACATTCGTTAGTATATGGTCTATGGTTGCTTTGTGCTTCAATGGCAGGTAAGTAATTGTGACAGACTGTATAACCCACAAAGCCTAAAATACTTATTCTCTGGCCATTGATAAAAAGAGTTTGCTGACCCTTCATCGAAAGCAGTGATTCTCAACCTTGGCCACATACTAGACATACTGGAATCACCTGGATAACATTAGGTGATTTGAAAAAATACTAATGTCCACCCTCCCCTCCTAGAAATTTTCCGATTTAGTTGGCCTGGAGATTGGCAATGTTGAAAGCCCCCTAGGTGATTCTCCATGGCAGCTAAGACTGAAAACCACTGGCCCATGAAAAGGCTTACTTGTATTTATTTTACTGCCCATCCCACACTGATTATTCTAATGTGCATTTAGAAGAGGGCTGAGAAGAATCACTTGGCCAGTAGTTTCCAGATCTGGATGTGTATCAGTCACGTGGAAAGTTTTAAAAACAGATTCTGAGGGGCGCCTGGGTGGCTCAGCCGGTTAAGCGTCTGACTTCGGCTCAGGTCATGATCTCACGGTTCGTGAGTTCGAGCCCCACATCGGGCTCTGTGCTGACAGCTCAGAGCCTGGAGCCTGCTTCAGATTCTGTGTCTCCCTCCCCCTCTCTCTGCCTCTCCCCCACTCACACTCTGTCTCTCTCTCTCTCTCAAAAATAAACATTAAAAAAAGAATTAAAAAAAAAAAAAGAATTGGTCACCTTCAGAGGATGATAGGGAACCAATTTATAAAAAAAAAAACAACCAAAACAAACAAACAAACAAAAAACCCAGGTTCTGAGACCTCATTCCAGACTGACTGGATCAGAATCTCCAGGGATTAAAAAAAAAAATTCCTTGGGTGGTTCTGATATGCAGGCATTTCATTAAAAGAGAACTGAAACTAGGACACCTTATTCTTTTTAATGTTTATTTATTTTTGAGACAGAGAGAGACAGAGCATGAATGGGGGAGGGTCAGAGAGAGGGGGAGACACAGAATCCGAAGCAGGCTCCAGGCTCTGAGCTGTCAGCACAGAGCCCGACGCGGGGCTCGAACTCACGGACCGTGAGATCATGACCTGAGCCGAAGTCGGACGCTCGACTGACTGAGCCCCCCAGGCGCCCCCACCTTATTCTTATCAGCAGGATTTTTGGACATTGAGGGATTATTTGGTGAGTGTAGGAGTGGTGAAAAGGGGTTTCTTGAGGCTGTGCGATGCAGGATGTAAATGATCTTATTGAATAGTCCAGCCTCATAGAAATACCCGCTGTGTAGCGATAAGAGTATCCATTTCTTCTGGATCTGGGTATATCTAGCCCCTCTTGTACCGTGCTGGATAAAAAGGAACGTGTCTTTCCTCTTTGTTCCTTTTATATGGACTCCACAGAGACAAATCATCCCACCAATATTCTTTCTTCAGGTAATCAGATAATTAGGTCACATTATGGGAGATTAAGCGGTAACATTTTTTCCCTCACTTCTGTCTCGACTGTGTAACCCCATCAGCTTGTGCATTTTTCTAGTCTCTTCCGTATCACATTTACTAATTGTATCTTAGGATAGATACTTTAAAGATGGCTAAACTCCTTCATGCTGTTTTTACCCTGAGCCATCTCAATCCAGTGCCCTGATGTACTTACTGGATCTCCAATAGTTTTTGCTCAAAGATGAAACCCATCTTTTCATCTCTTAACTGTATGAAACAATACCATTTGTGCTCTCTTCACTTTGGATGAAAATTGTAAAAGCATGGAAAGCTGAGCTGAAAGGGTCTTTAGAGGCCATTATGTCTACCATTAAAAAGGGCAATACTGTAGGCAGTCTAGGCGGGTACAGTTGGGAGGTACTTCATACCCTACCTTGTACAAGTGTTGATACTGGGTTTACAGTCTGTAACATGGGCACCTTAGCCGTGAAGAATCTGAACCACGCCAAGTCCATCTGTGTTTGACGCTGATGCCTGGAGGGAGCCGAATAACCATGGTCAGGTCTCTCCGAGACTTACCCTCCTTGAGTGTACTGAGGAAAATGAGTGTCTATCTTGCAGGGTTATTAAGGGAGTATACAGTAAGTTGATATGGAAGATCCCTTTGTAAACCATGAAGTCTTTTTGGTTTGGGAAAATTATTGGACAGGAAGAAAAACAAAACTAAGTAACTATGGAAATCTCCCAGTTCTTACGTGGGCTTGTGGCCCAGAAGGCATTCGGTAGACTTAAAAGGAATGGTCTTGGAAATAAAAATTTCTAATATTTTACACCAAGTGCTATTCGCTAGTCCAGCTATCATTGATTACCCTACAGGGAGAAGCTGTAAGCAGTGCTGTCAAATGGAAAACTGTCTGTGTTCAAGAGATCACAGAGAAGTCAATCATCTAGTTGTACTTGAAGGCATTTGCGATATTATGTATTGTAACTTAGAAAATCAGAGATACTGGGGCATCTGGGTGTCTGAGTTGGTTAGGCATCCGACTTCGGCTCGGGTCATGATCTCACGGTTCGTGGGTTTGATCCTTGTGTCGGGCTCTGTGCTGACAGCTCGGAGCCTGGAGCCTGCTTCGGATTCTGCCCCTCCCCTGCTTGAGCTCTGTCTCTCTCTCTCTCTCTCAATAATAAATAAACATTTAAAACATTAAAAAAAAAAACAAACAAACCAGAGATATTGAAGGACCAGTGAAAATACCATAAACCAATTTAAAAAGTGCTGGCATATTTTTTCAATTGACTTGCAAGGTTGGCTTAATGGCTGTGGCATGCTATCAGTGGCTACTTAAATATGTAACTTTAAATTATTTTTACCAGGAAAAGCAAAATTTTGTATTTAGTTCAACAAACATTTATTGAGGATACAATGAGGAATCAAAGACTGTCCCTGTCCTCAAGGTGCTCATTGTCAAGTAAGGAAAACAAACATTAGGAGACGGTGGAAAATGCGAGGATGGAAGTATGCACCCAGTGCTGTGGGTGCCCTGCAGGGGCGGGGGGAGCATAGGAGTAGGGAAGAAATGTCAAGAAGGCTACACAGAGGAAGCAGGATTTGGCTGACAGTTGAAAGTTCCAATGTCTCAAAGGAGGAAAGGCAAATGGAACAGTGTATAGAAAGATAGGAGGCATGAGAGAATGTGTTCTGAGGGACCAGGGTGGGTCTCAGGATAAGTTTAAGGCAGTAAGATATGGATATCCCTGGATAAAAATAAGGAATGAATATTGGCTCTATAACATTACTTCATGATTGGCTGCTTGCTCGGTGTTTACGTTTCTTTATGAAAAATTTTATTTACGGTATTTTTCCAGTCACCCCTGTGTCACCTATATAAACACTATCATACCTGTCACTGATGGCACGTATTAGGAAAAGTGAAAACATGTCTCCTCTAAAGTGCTTCCATTTTAAGGTTTTTGCATCTCTTAGACACTTTCACGGTCCCTAGCACCTTGATGGGCTCTGTAAAACAAAGCATTATCCAAGCAGAGGTGTGACTGTACTAGAATTGTTTGAAACTTCTACCATTATTTTCCTATCAGAGAATGATTCATCATCATTTTGAACAGTGATGCCTTCAAAATCTTTGAGAGGTCAGAAACCCATTTTGCAGATGAAGAAACTGAGGTATAGAGTTCTCCTTGGTCCCAGGGTGAGAGGCTGGAGTATGTCAGGGAGATTATTGCTTTTGACTGTGTTAAGTTTCTTAATCCCTTTAGACTGTGAAGTTTCCGTTTCTTTCCCAAATCCAGAAGTGGGAAGTGTTTTGAGATTTGTTCTATCTATGGGACTCCATCGCAGAATATTCATAAAGTGCTCAAAGTGCATGGTACTGTAAGAAGCTAGAGCCAGGGGCCGTTTCTCTCACTGTTTAGTTGAGAAGAAAGGGCATGTAGCATTGATTATTTACGAACTATTGATTATGGAACTAGTTTACAGTCCTCGGAAGTCTGAGTATATAATGTGTGTGTCCAATTATTTTTTTAAAATCACGATCAGCTGTCTGAAGTGTCTTCACTGGGTTCCTCTTGTGTAAGAAGTACATAGCTTCCCTCGTTCCAGCTGGTGCACTTGACGATGCTGCAAAAGCAAACAAGACATTCTGCAATTGTGACCAAAGCAATACATAAATAAAAAATCTATATTCCAACTTCCCCCTGGTTATATGGCTTGCAATAAATTGTGCAAATTATACACAGAAGGAACATACTGGCACTTTGAGTCCAGCTGACTTGCTAGGCATAGCATTCTGAAAATAATAAACAATCTACAGTTCTTTTCTCTTCCAGATCCCTGAAATGTCCATCCATCCCACTGTTTAGTTTCCATAGTCCACAAAAAAGTAGTTATAACTGTAGGTGTGGCTGAAGTTCATGTCCAATACCTATAACTGAAGCTGGGACAAGAAGACACCTGGAACTTAAAAAACATGTAATTTGGGGGTGCTTGGGGTGGCTCAGTCCGACTCTTGGTTTCGGCTCAGGTGTTGGCAGTGCAGAGCCTGCTTGGGATTCTCTCCCCCTCTCTCTGCCTCTCCCCCACTTGCACTGTCTCTGCCTCTCTCAAATAAATAAACTTTAATAAAAAATAAGCATTTAACTTTTTTAAAATATTGAATGGTATAGGGTTAAAAAAATCTCAGGAGACCATCTACATTTACATTAGAAGCATTATTGAAAGCATAACTATCTTTTATCTAGCTGTGTATATGTTCATTAACAGATATGTATGAATATATGAAGAATACAAATTACCCATTTTCTACTCCCTAATTCTTTTTATTTTTCGTGATATGGTATGGATGCACGATCATTTATTTAATCATTCTCTTTTGGTCATTTAAAAAATGTTTTTGTCTTCATAAACTTTGTATCAGTTGACCTTTGAACGTCCCATGTAGTTGGAAATGCGCATATAACTTTTGACTCCCTAAAAACTTAACTACTAATAGTCTACCATTGACCAGAAGCTTTACCAGTAACATAAAACAGTCTACCAACACATATTTGGCATGTCATAAGGATTATATGCTGTATTTTTATAATAAAGCCAGAGAAAAGAAAATGGCATTAAAATCATGAGAAAGTATATTATGGTACTGCATATATAGAAAAAAAATCTGCATGTAAGTGAATCCATGCAGTTCAGACCTGTGCTGTTCAGAGTTAACTGTACATAAATTTTTGATATTACTGATCATTTCCTTAGGATGTGCTTCTAAAAGGAATCACTGGGTCAAATACTACAAACTTCTTAAAAAAGCTTTTGATACATGTTTATGAATTGCTTTCCAAAGATGATACTGCCAAATAACACTCCTACAAGCAATGCGTAAGACTGTCTCATCATTTACTATATAGCATAGCATGTATTTTTAATTTTGCTGGTTCAACAGGTGGAGTCTCTTTTTAAAAAGATATCTAGTAAAAATCACTTTTCATCAGAATCACAGAGGAACTGTAAATAGTACTGTAGTCTGTCTTACACAGATCTAGGTATGAAAATTACCTAGACATTATGTAATGAGGTCCTACTATGATTAGGACGTAGGGCAGCCCTTCAAGGAGGTCACAGTCTTGGTCGAATGGGTAAGGCCTGTGCACGTAGGTACTTTCCTTACTCACCCCGCACCCCCCCCCTCACCGCCCCCCAGTGCTCAGGAGAAAGCAGAGATGTGTTGTGCTCCACCTCCTACTGACCCCTGTCACTGCACTGTCACTGCACTGTCACTGCACTGTGCTCTCAGCCGTGTAGACTGGGCAAAGCCCAGCAAGGAAAGGGCAAAGAGCTCTCGGCCCAGTGCGCTGGCCCCATAGAACGTGTTCACTCTCTTTGCTTGGCCATTTCGGCAACCACTTGTCTAGTTAGATTACACTTTTTGTTAACTGAAGGGCAAAGGAAGAAAGAAATACTTGTTATGTGTATGACTCTGGTCTTTTTATTCTATGTACTATTCATATATAGAATTTGGTACTTTGTATTTATTTGGATATTTACATTTAAAAAGGGAGTCACGGGGCACCAGGGTGGTGCAGTCGGTTAAGCGTCCGACTTCAGCCAGGTCACGATCTCGCGGTCCGTGAGTTCGAGCCCCGCGTCAGGCTCTGGGACGATGGCTCAGAGCCTGGAGCCTGTTTCCGATTCTGTGTCTCCCTCTCTCTCTGCCCCTCCCCCGTTCATGCTCTGTCTCTCTCTGTCCCAAAAATAAATAAACGTTGAAAAAAAATAAATAAGTAAAAATAAAAAGGGAGTCATTAGGGGCGCCTGGGTGGCTCAGCTGGTTGGGCAACTGACTTCGGCTCAGGTCATGATCTCACAGTCCGTGGGTTCGAGCCCTGTGTCGGGCTCTGTACTGACAGCATGGACTCTGGAGCCTGCTTCGGATTCTGTGTCTCCCCCTCTCCCAACCCCTCCCCTGCTCACGCTCTGTGTCTCTCTGTCTCTCAATAATAAATAAACGTTGAAAAAAAACACTTTTTTTTAAAAGGGAGTCACTAAATAAGCCAACATTCTTCAAAGAAAATTCTTGATATTCAGTGCACACGATTTGCTCTTGTCATCAGCCCAAGACTCCATATTAAAGTCTGTCTTCTTATAGGAATCTTTGACCCCCCAGGGGATATTATACTCTAGGAAATCATAATTGAATATGAATATATATACATACACACACATACGCATACACATGCATATTCTTGGATGCTGATTTAATCGGTTCATATCTAAAGAGACAGGGGGTGGCTATTCAGTCTGACCCAATCTTTCTTTCTCTTAATAATGGTGAGCCTTGTCATTGTCTCTTTCTTCTTAAGTCTTCAACATTATCAATAGATGTCCTCATGTCTAAAAGGTACTGAGAAAAGTACATTCTGGGGCAAAACTTCGTTCAAAAGAAACCCACAGGCCCCACGTGGTTTCCATTAGGCCAGCTCATCAAACCTGGACTTCACATGTAACTTACCTGCACTCCCAGCCTCCCCCAGAGGCTCGTCTTCACCAGTCAAGCCAGGAGTTCTCTGACCGGCACCGGTGAGCCTGCTACTTGGGCCCTTTCTATCCCCCAGAGAAAGATGAGGTCATCCACCCTAATAAGACCCCTGCCCTTCTCCCTAAGGGAAGGTGACTCTGCCTGAAATAATTATTTCTTCTCCTCTGCTAATAACGTCACAACCCACCCTCTTTCCTATGAAAACCTTCCAGTTAGCACAGCTCCTCAGAGCCCCGCTCTACTTGTTAGATGGGATGCCGCCTGGTTCGTGAATCAACCAGTGGAGCCAATTAGATCTTTAAAAGTTACCCAGTTGAATTTTTTTTTTTTTAAACAACTTTAACAGATCCTCCTTACTAGTGAGGTTAGGGAATTCATTTAATCCAGCTATCCTCTGACAAAATGGTTGAAAATAATTACCTACCATAGACTGATGGCTGGAATTAGTAATAGAACGGCAGACAGCAGAAAGGTGAAGCCTGGGTACCAGGCGACAGTGGCTGAATAAATTCCATTAAAAGCAGAAACTGCAGTGACACCACCAAGCGTTTCTAAGAAGGCAATGCAAGCAAACAGAGTACCTGTTTGGGGTCAGGGTGTGGAAGGAGAAAAAGAAATGGCTTCGTGACAAAACAACGAACAGAACAAAGGGAGAAAACTTACTCACTGGAAAAAACAAACATGGGGCACTGCTTGGTGAATGAAAGCTATTTCCTCCAAATCCTTGAGAAGTCAGTAACCCATTTTTGCAGGTGGAGACACTGAGATCATGAGGTCCGCTTGGACTTGATGTGACGGAAGGTGAAAACACAATAGTTCCGATGTCGGTAGGGCAAAGGTAAAAGGCAACGACAGCTGACACGTTTGAAACCCACAGTCTCCTGTCCCTGAACAGCCGCAGGCATAGCCACAACTACATAGCCCTGACGTTCAAGCTTATTTCCCACTCTCAGTCCCCAAGCTGGGGACATCTGTGACACACCTCCTATGTGCAGGTGGCTCCTACCAGCAAAGGTCCCACCCGAGGAGCCTTTTGAGTTAAAGCAATCCTTTTCATCTGCTTCTCAGATCTGGCAAAAGTGACAGCTGCAGACAAAGACAGATGGTGGCACACGCTTTCTGCAGCGTGCACTGGATCCCTCCCTCCAAAGTGCCGGCAAACTGAGCAGCCACAAGGTTCCTTTGTGTGACTCCTCAAGTAACTGTCTGTGCTCTAGTTCTGCCACGGTTTGATGCGAAGTGAGTCTTTTCTGCCTTCCCTGCCTGAAACGGCTTCCACGCTGAGGTGGCTCACGAGACTGAGTGAACGGGGATCCCGCCACTGCCCGGCACCCCTGCCCGCCTACCACGGTTGGTCGAGGGCAGGCCCTGGAGCATCGTTCGAGGAGCGTAGGGTGGCTGCATGGTCAGTCCAAGTTCATAATCCGAGAAAAGGGGGCACAAATTCTACCAATGTTTCGTTCTGTCTGCAATCCAAGACCACGCTGACTGAGCAGTTAAACCTCTAAAGGACAGGCGGGTCATCTCGATGTACTTGTCTTCCTCTTTGCCCTATTTTGCATCACCAGATGAAAAACTTTGTCCTGGTTTTCCGCTCTTCTTGATGTCCCCGGTAGAAGTCCCTACGTGGCTTTGGCAGACTCTATCATTAAGCCGTTGTGATTGTTCCCTGCTTTGCCAAGTTTACTTTTCCATGAGAAGTTGTGATGTATTTTTTCTACAAACAATGCAAATCATGTAAATAACTGTATTTGATTGGACTGGTGAGAAGGAAAAGGCAAGCATGAGGGTCACCTTTCATAACCAGATTATGGCTTACACTGTCTGTGTTTTAAGGTCTTGACTACAAGACCGTGGTCTTGGTCTTGTAGACCGTGTGGCCTATAGGTTTTTATCTACTGAGACTTTTTACCCTGGTATACATCTTCTCGTACGTTGCTTCTAATTCTTCACCGAATGACAGGTCACATGTTCATAAAACATAAACATATCTCTGAAGAATACTGTGTTTTCCCGTACATGTCTTCTTTTGACTAAAACGAAAGCTCTGTTCATGCCAAGTGCACATCTACTCTGTTTACTGCTGTGTCCCAGGGCCTGTCTGTCCTGGCACATGGAAGATGTTTAACCCGTATTTGTCGAATGGATGAAAAAAAGCTTCATTCAAGAGCCCAGTTACCAATCAGCAAGTAGTACACAGACCTGTTGCCTCCATGATTTATGATAAAACACGAAGTCAGTTCAGTTGGGAGGAAGTTCTCCTACCTGTCTATGCGATTATCTTCTCTTATTTCTGATCCCTTGCCACAGCCAGGCACAGTGCCCATGGAGGACAGACTGGACAGATGTAGCCCTATGTTGCAATGACCTAACTCGATTCTTGACAGAAAGCTGGCCAGGTGGTACGTGTGTCTGGCATAAACAGCCATCCTGTGACACAGTAGGGTTCACTTGTCGCTCAACTTTCTCGAGCAGTTCAACTTGTGTCACAGTCACCAGAGATAAACTGGATTAAGTAATCAGCCCATTGTTTCGTATCTATACTTTTTCTTAATCCGGTAGGTTTCAAAAGTCGAGTGTGTTTTGCCGGTGTTCCAAGTAATCACAAAGAGTGCGCAGGGAGCAGCAAGGCAAGAGGTAGTCCAGGGTGGCTTTAGCTGGGAGTTTCACAGCTGTATGGAGCACAGAGATTCCGAAACAATCCAGTTTCCTCTCCTTTCTCATTCAAGATGCTGGGGATACTGAGAGACTCATGAAAACCTCTGTGCCACTTCCTTTCTCCTCTGATTACCTTAAAGCACATAACATTTTCACGAAAATATCCCGTTTTTAAAAAAGTAATGCAGGACCAGAATATACTCAGTAGGGGAACTCTGACATCAGCAAAAGGCTTTCTTAGTGAAAATCCAAAAAACAAAACATTTTAAAGTGTCACTTTAAATAGCCTTTGTAAGTAGACTACACCAAATAAAAACCAAAACAAACCAGACACTCTGAGAAGTCTCTTTTAGCTCCAAGTTGTGAAGCAGGTAGATGTTTCTTTTTCTTCTGAACAGCTCTACCGAGGTATAATTCATATGCCCTAGAACCCACCCCTTTAAACTGCACAGTTAACGGAGCTGTGCAGCCTCACCCCAGAAGAAACTACCCATTAGCAATCTCTCCCTTTCTCTCCAGCCCTGGACAGCACTTACCTGATTTCTGTCTCCATGGGTTTGCCTTTTCTGAACGTTTCATATAAATGGAGTATTTATACGACAATGTGTGACCTTTTGTGTCGGGCTTCTTCATTTTCCATAATGATTTCAAGGTTCATCCATGGGGTAGCGGGTATCATCAGTACTTTATTTTTATTGCCAAATAATATTTCATTGGGCCGATATACCACATGGCATCTATCCATTCATCAGTTCATGGACGTTTACATTTGTCTTTACTTTTAGGCTACTATAAATAATGCTGCTGTGAACATTTGTGTGCAGGATTTTTTTGTGGGCATATGTTTTCATTTCTTTTGGGATTTCAATTCCATTCTATTTCTAGGGATGGAATTGCTGAGTCCTAAGGGAATTTTATTTAACTTTCTGAGGAACTACCAAACTGTTTTGGCAAAATGGGTGCATCATTTTATGTTCCCACCAGCAGTGTAGGAGGGTTCCAGGTTCTCCACATCCTGACCATCTCTTGTTGTGGTCTTTCCATTTCAGCCACCCCGGTGGGTCTCACTGTGGTTTTGGTTTGCATTTCCCTGAAGGCTAATGATGTTGAGCATTTATTCATATAATTCTTGGCCATTTGTACAGCTTTTGGAGAGATGTCTATTCAAATCTGTTGCCTATATAGTTGGGTTGTCTTTTGGTTGTTGTTGTTTTTTTTTTTTTAATTCCAGTGTAGTTAACACACAGTGTTATAATAGTCCCAGGTGTACAATACAGCGATCCAGTAGGTTCCATATACTACTCAGTGCCCATCCAGATAAGTGTATTCTTAATCCTCCTTACCTATTTCATCCATTCCCCTCCCCCACCTCCCAAGTTCCTTATTAGACATGTGATTTACTCATATATTCTCACACTCTGTAGCTTGTCTTTTCACTCTCTGGATGGTGTCCTTTAAAGTGCAAAAGCTCTTAATTTGGATAAAGTCTAATTTATCTATTTTTCTTTTGTTGTTGTGCTTTTGGTGTCATACCTGAGAAACCACTGTAACCCAAAGAAGCAGGTATATTTTTACATATTACAGTTACAAATTTTTATATTCCTAAGTGGTTTTCCAGTCAATCATCATTACATAATATATAAACAGCTGTGTGCATATACAGTGACATGGGTGGAAGAGAATCAAGAAATATATTTTTAAAGGCACTGAATTAGCAGTCTTCCCCAGTGTTGACTAAACTGCCATAAATACAGTAGCCTAGATATGAATGGTCCATCAACAATTAATATGAATATCTGCACCAGGCTGAGGCATGAAACAAAAGAAAGCTCCAAAATCTAACAATATTCACATGGTACAGATGTGCCTAATATCTAACTAGTAACTAGTTCTAACTAGAAATTTGATTTTTTTGTCCTTTTGTATTGGTTATTCTCTGCCCTCCCACTTCAGCTGTTTGATCTCCTGTGTCCTCCTCTGTGCTTGGGAGGCTGATAGATTTACTCCTATCGAATGACGTGGATTTCCTTGCTAATCTGACTTTCTGTTGCACTTGGTCAACGAGATGAAGGTGGAGAGAAAGCTTGTAGTGTCTTGTCTCTGCTCCCTATTTGGGCCACCTTCTCTGGGTGCCTTCTCCACTGCCCACTCCGCCATACTGCTTGGACTTCATGAAAGTCCCACCAGCTGAGTGGGATCCTGTTTTTGCTAGGATTCTAATTCAGGCCCAGCCCTAACATTTGTGGGGTCCAGTGTAAGAATACACTTAGAAGCCTATATATTGTACTGTAAGTATTTGTGAGTTACAGTTCTAACGAACAGACTGTTCAGTAAGCTATGTTTCAACTACCCGCTCTGAGAAATATGCCTTCTATACCTTCACGATGATTTGGGAGGTCAGACACAGACTCCGAATTCTCAGACTCTTTGGAGTTCTGTGGAGGAACATGGCAGCACTGGCCGAGCTAGCTGGCCCTTGGCCCTCAGTCCCCAGCTGCAGGGTGCAGTCCGCCCACTCTGTGTTCTATCTCTTGCTCCATCCTGCTCAGAAAGGATCATTTACACATGGCTGTACACACCCCACTCTGCAATGCCAAGGTTGGGCTAGTTCTATGAAGAGTGATGGCTTGGCTACCCCTTTGGTCTAGAGGGGAACACACGGTCTACCCTCAGGAGAAAGGGTCTGAGGAAGAGGACCACCCAGGCACTGAAAGACATGAACCCGAAACTGTTTGGCTGGGAATTATGGGTCCCGGATACCCAGAGTATAGTCTAGAAGGGGGAGGTGTTGTGAGCTCCCGGGTGGGCATCTGCCTGGCCCTGAGCACTCCTCTGCTCTTGAGGCAAGGCCTGGCTAGATGCAAGCCTTCTAAAGCGGGAGACCCTGGGCAGGGCACCCCTGCCTGAACATAAGCCTCTACCGAACACTGAATTTACTTACCACTTAATTCAAAAGGCGTTCTGAACAAAAAAAGTGTTGTAGAATATTCGGAAGAATCAAACATTGGTTGTCCATAGATTTCAGTTGATACAGATTGTAAACTCATTATGTTCATTAAGCAAATTAAACTCACCTTGTTCAGTAGAACGAACCACTTTTGATATCATGGACCGGAGAACAGAGAGCGGCACGATCGTGAAAAGGAATGGCAACCTGACTGTAAGAGAAATGGTGGGAAATCACTGGCCAAGTCAGAAAACGAATGGCCAATTTTAAATGTGAAATACTTTCTTTCTGACTATGTCCTTTTCTATAAGCATCCTACCTCATTGCATCTAAGGACTGAATTCATTAATTGCAGACTTCTGTCTCGTGACTTAAGATACACTATAGATGGGTCAGCTAAAGGTTACTTTACTTTGTTATTCCGGGAGTAAGAATAAGAGTTCGTGGAGGTTTTAGGTCCTTGGGATTAGAACTGCGATTGGGACTGATGTGCTATTTCCCTGATTATTACAGTGACCTCTCGTTCAGCAAGTTGTGACTTAGCTTTCTTCATGTATTTTCTGGTTTTGCTCCCTCAGACTTGACATTCTTAGTGTTAGCATGCTTGTAGTATATTGACTCACTTATCGAGAAATTGGTTCTTTCTGCTTGTTCATCTTTGTGCTGAATCATTTTATGAGCCCAGATCACCTCTCCTCTTAAATTATGACCCCTAATAGTAGCATTTCTAGTTCTTTGACAAAACAGTAATAGATTATTTTTGCAGATGATGTTAAAGTTTTCACACACGTATCAACTTCCTTGACCTTGGCAATTCTAAGGGAGACAGGGAGAACCGACATTTACTGAACACAAGGCCTTCTGCGAAGTGCTTTACAGTGATCTCTTCTAATATTCTTGTAACCCTCTGAATTAGGTACTACTGTGCCCATTTTACATTTGAATAAATGAAGGCCCTGAGTACTTGAGTAATTTGCTTAAGATCACCTGGTGCCATATAGATGGACATTAAACCTGATTCTCTTTGGTCACCCTGCTTCCCTGCAAGGTAGCAAGAGGTTGGCAGTGGCTTTGTAGAAAAAGATGAAATCGGACCTTTCCTAAGGTCCCACTTGACAGATCCCTTAGCTCTTTCAAAGGCGGCATCTCACTCAAGCCCTACAGAAACCACCTGTGGGGTAGGTAGTTGAGGAGGTGGTCCAGTTTGCCAAAAAATGATTTATCAAAAGCCAATTGACGGAATGACCAATTTGCAAAACCTTGTCTTAAAGAATTTTCTTCTTGAATATATTCAACAAATGTGAATTTTATAAATCTTTTGAGTTTATTTTATGTAATGATTTTTAATTCTTATGGGGCGCCTGGTGGCTCAGCCAGTGGAGCGTATGACTCTTGATCTTGGGGTTGTGAGTGAGCCCCACGTTGGATGTGGAGATTACTTAAAAATAAAATCTTAAAAAATAGTTTTTAAAAAGTTTTATGGAAAGTAGTCTTCTTAGCAGCACTTTAAGAAATATTCAAGTTGGCAAAAAGCTCTATTGAAGAATTGACTCACAAGAAGAATGCTTCTCAAAACAATTTTTTGGCAAGTATGCAAATTTAGAAAATTGTGGTTAATCATTAGTGGTTTTTTTTGTTTGTTTTTTGTTTTTATTTTTTTTTTTTTTTCAACGTTTATTTATTTTTGGGACAGAGAGACACAGAGCATGAACGGGGGAGGGGCAGAGAGAGAGGGAGACACAGAATCGGAAACAGGCTCCAGTCTCCGAGCCGTCAGCCCAGAGCCTGACACGGGGCTCGAACTCACGGAGCGCGAGATCGTGACCCGGCTGAAGTCGGACGCTTAACCGACTGCGCCAACCAGGCGCCCCAATCATTAGTGTTTTTTAAACCAATGGGCTTTCACTTCCTGGCAAAGTGCCTTAACTGAACTAGAATGCGTTAAATAGAGAATGTTAAACTAAAAGTTTCTCACCCGGCAGACTAAATTCATTTTATATAAACATCAAATACATGGTTAGTTCTAAGGCTACATTTTGTATCTTACCTAAAAACATCATTAATGTTGTTCTGGCAAAAGCAGTCATAACCATTCCTGCCATGGTGGTAAAGATTCCAATGAAGGCCATGTGAATGTCTTCCATACAGTAAGAAAAAAGCCATATTCCTAGGAAACTGCTGAAAAAGGTAATGCTACCCAGAGCCGATCCATAACCTATAAAGACTTCATTCCAGCAGAGTGGAGAATCCAATTCATAAAGGATAAAAATGGGGGAAATGCCAATTGTCACGAAAAAATAAGTGATCATTGTAAAAAGTAACAAACAGAGAAAATACCGTCGCTTACCAGAAGCATTTTTAAAAAGCATGTAAGTTCGGTAAAATAGGTTTTTAAAGCCTTCACTACATGATATGGCAACATTCGGAGATGAAGATTCTTTCAATGAATCGCCAAGAAAAAATAAAATATAAATCAAGTTAACAGCAAAAGCCATACTAATAATGAAAAAGGACCACACAAAACCTAGTTCTCTGATAAAATAGCCAGAAGACAGTCCCGTTAACCCAGTGACAAGTCCAAGTATGAAGTCAATTATAGCTATTCGAATTGTTCTTTGTTTCTGTTCTACACATTGATCAACTACGTAGGCAAAACAGGCCCCTAAAAATGTGGTAGAATTGCCACACAGTGCACCGATAAAGGTGGATGCAATCAGAAGCTGGACTGGAAAAGCAAAGTAGGAGAGCACACAGAGCCAAACACTGGTTGCAAGGGCACCAGCGGAAGACAAAATCAAAGGGAATTTCCGTCCTCGATGATCACTATGAGACAGAAGTATGAACGTAGACACTAGACCAGGAATTAGCCCACTTATGTCCATCTGCAGATTAAAGAGAGACACCTTCTTCTGAACTTCCTGCAAAGAAACAAAAAGAAGATGATGTGTTTACAGAGATATAGACAACATGCATGAAAATATCACAGTGCGTGCTTTTCTTTTTTCCAGTACGTCGCCAATAAGGAATCTCTGCGGCATGGGTTTGATACAGCCTGAATCTTCATCCAGTTCACAAAGCAAATATCAAGAGGTGACAGGAATCAAAGCTCAGTCATAATATTCAAGTACCGTGGTGGGCACTTTCACTCATAAAAAGAAAATTGGGTATTGCGTCGTGTCTGTCTTATATAGGGGCTCCACAGACCCCAAGACATCTGGGACTGGCCGTATAAGGATATTTCTTTCTTCTGTGAACAGCTAGCACGGAGATCATGACCACTGTTGTAAAGCAAGAGCGACACCCTTTCCCGTGACAGATCCTTCTGTCTACTTAAAAGGGAATGAATATCACGTGTAAATGTCATACTCGATAGACCTTTATTTAGGAGGCACTCAGTTGCTTTTTTCACATGTGTCTCCACAAATAAGTTTCTTCCAGTTTCTTTCTTTCCTTACTAAAAAATAAGATAAAACCCCAAGAGAAGCTTTGCACTGACGAAGACGGATGGTAGCACGCCATGAACTGAGGAGGAAGGTAAATCCAGCTTCTCCAAGCCAACACAACCGGGGGCACACACAGGCTGGAAGATGTTACAGTCGCTGCACTGGTTGTTTGATGGAGAGCATTTGGGGTGATTTCTGTTTGCCACCTCTCTCTGTATTTTCCAAGTTTTATGTAGAGTATGTGCCATTTTTATAACAGGGATTACTAAACTCATTTTTAAAAACAGACGGATTCATGTAATATTTAGAAAGCACCCTAGAACAACTGATGAACCACACAGAAAAATCAAGTACTGAAATTAATGATTTTTTAAAAGAGTGAGCCTGTGTTTATTTTTATATATCCATATAATGCAAGTTACTTCCCGTTACCAGGAAGTGTTGTCGTCACTGAGACTCAAAACTCCAGTCATCTTTGTTTCTGGCCTTTCCCTTCACCCATGCCTGCCAACACCCAATGCTTCTCGTGACCTCTGCCTCTTTCCGGTCCCATCACTGCCACTGGGAGCACAGGGCTCCTAGTGCTCACCAGCACTCCCCAGGCACCTTGCTTTCTCTCTCTTCAATTCGGTCTATGACCCAGCCTCGTCACTTTGTGGATCACACACCCTAATGGTGGGAGCGGCTTGCCAAAACACACTAGTGGCACGTCTCTCACCTGCTTATTAGCCCTCTGCCTGCTAGAGAAAGCTCACGCTTTCCGTGTCTGTTATGTTAGGCCACCCAGATGTGGTCCAACCCCACTCTTCAGCATGATCTCCACTCCCTTCCCTAAGAAGCCATGTTACAGGCACAGGCCTTAGTCAAGTCCAACTTGGATTTGCCTGAAATGCCCAAACAGATGTAATCTCTCCTGCTGAACCTTCTCATCTGGCCATTATCATTCTTCAGTTGCACTTTTTTGTGTAGCGATTAAGAGCTCTGGAGTCAGATCGATCTAGATTCAGAAGGAGCCTGTTCTTTACGTAGCAATTAGAGTGATTTTTTTTTTAAACGTTTATTTATTATTGAGAGACAAAGAGACACAGAGCATGAGCAGGAGAGGGGTAGAGATGGGGGGAGACACAGAATCCGAAACAGGCTCCAGGCTCTGAGCTGTCAGCACAGAGCCCGACGCGGGGCTCGAACTCACAAACTGCAAGATCATGACCCGAGCCGAAGTCGGTCACTTAACCAACTGAGCCACCCAGGCGCCCCTAGAGTGATTTTTAAAAACACACCAACCAGCTCACGTTACTCCTCCACCCAAAATCCCTCGGTGGCTTTCCTGACAGTGGAATAAATCCGAATTCCTTGCCACGGTGTGGGCGGCGATATCATGACTTCTCTGATTTCAGGTCTGCCTCTTGGCTCCCCTCAGCCACATGCATTCCTCAGACACTCCACGCTCATTCACTTGTTTTGTACTTGCTGTTCCTTTTGCGATGACCACACGGCTCACTTCCTCAATTCAAAAGTCACTTCCTCAGAAGCCTTCTGTGAGCCATCCAGAGCAACCCCATCAACCCCCACCCAGGGCTCCATGCCCTTATCTGGCTATAGTTTTCTTTAGAGACTTGCCCCACCCCCACAGGGTGGGTTACTTTAATGGAGCTGCTCACCGTGTGCCCTCTCCACTACCACTAAGCTCTGGGAGGGCGGGCACGCGGTCTTCTTTACCACATCATCATGGATTCCAACCAAGTGCTTCACAGGGTGCCCCACAGACACTGGTTGTACCAGTGAATAAGCAGATAAAATAGGCGATGCGCTAGCTGCGTGTGATGCCGACCAAATTATTTATCCCTATAGCTTCATCTGACAAGAGGGGGGTATGAAGAGTCCCTATCTTGCAGGCTGTTGTGTGAGATTTAAAGTCAGCATGTCAACATAAGGCACACCGCAGAGACCCTATTATACGTTCACGCTTAGTCAACTCTGGTAGTTTCATTTTTACTAGGGCAGGCTTCTCGCGTACATTGTTGTGGCTCTACGGTTATAAAAGCCATCAAGTAAATATTTACCGAATAAAGAAGTAAATCAAACAATCATTTTTTAATCAGCTTTTCAACAAGATATTCCAGTTTGGGATTCCTCTTCCCATTCCCACCCCTCCCCCGTATCTGATCTTCTTTCTTACCCAACCTCTTATGCAGACTTCTCTCCTCATCTGCAATCTATTCCTTTTAAACTCTGGAGAGTCATAATTAGATAAGGGCAAATGGAAGAAATCAGAGTAAAAAGTGCTATGTCTTATACAAGACTGAACAGGGTGGCTCAAGCATCCGACTCTTGACTTCAGCTCAGGTTATGATCTCACGGTTCAGTTCATGAGTTCGAGCCCTGCGCCTGACTCTGCACCGACAGCGTGGAGCCCGCTTGGGGTCCTCTCTCTCTCTCTCTCTCTCTCTCTCTCTCCCACCCGTTCACTCGTGCACGCACACTCGCACACTCTCTCTCAGAATAAACTTTGAAATAAAACTAAAAAAAAAAAAAAAAAAATAGACCGAACAGAAGGACAATGTACTGAGACAAGTGTAAGTTACATTAAGGAAAGGAATATCAATTTTCAAAAAGTCACGATTCCATAGGCTGTAGTATATATAGTAATTACAATTGAGTAGAAAACATTCTCTATCTGCTGGTAGTAAGGGACTGTGTTAGTTATTAAAAGGGTTGTAAGTAAATTACTGAATAAGAACAATTTCACAATCTGGTTGACACCAACTTGCCCCCTCAACTAGCAGCGTCCCTGTCTTGATAGCACTTGAAGAGAAGAGACCAAAGTGGCCAGTTTAGCACCTCAAAACCAGTCGTTTAACCTGGGAAGGAGAGGATGGCAAGGGGCTTCAAAATTCCTTCCTCCACACAAGTCAACAAACATGCTTAGAATTCCCCACCTCTTCTGCTTTAGCCAAGAGTGTCCTTCCCACAGCCTTGCCATTTTAAGAGGCCCTTTAGAGATTAATCTTGCTCAAGAGAAGTATGTAGGTGCATCTTATAGTCACAAGACTCAGAAAACTCAAAGATTCGGAAAGTAGGTTAGATGAATATTTATATGTATTTATATTTATATGTCTATATATATTTGACCCTACTAGGTTGAAAAATAAGACTTTTCATTCATATAGACTTTCAAAATGTTAAGTATAAGTGAAATAGCTTAGTTTATTCTTATATCTATACCCTGAAATTCATATTATTATCTTGCATTCCAATACATGTGTCTGTGTCTGTGTATTTGTTATATAGAAAGATAAATAAATATAGTCTCACAGTAAGAAGTTCAATACCCTATTGTATTATGCACTCTTCTTACAAATAATTGGTCTTTTGGGAGAGTGGCAAAGAAAAATTTGAACTGAAAAAAATCCTTTGTTTTATTCAGGACTGACTCTGTGTGTCCTATGACATTTTATTTTTAGGGTTACAAGAACAGTTCTCAAACCCCTAAATTTCTTTAAGTCAGCAAGTGCCCAGCACCCACCCCCAGCAGAGCTGGGAATTGAGAAGGAAGGTCCTAAAACAGGGAACATTTGTCCTTGGATTTAAAGGTAAGAGAGGGGCGCCTGGGTGGCTCAGTCAGTTAAGTGTCCGCCTTCAGCTCAGATCACGATCTCACCGTTTGTGAATTCGAGCCCCACGTCAGGCTCCGTGCCAACAGCTCGGAGCCTGGAGCCTGCTTCGGATTCTCTGTTTCCCTCTCTCTGCCCCTCCCTCACTTGCACTTTGCGTGTGTCTCTCTCTCAAAAATACAGAAACATTAAAAAAATAAAAATAAAGGTAAGAGAATATTCTTATATTGAGCAGGAACAGTATCCAGAAAAGGGGCCAGAGGGAAATGCTGAAGGAGATGGGGGTGCCTCCTGGGAAGGAAAAATGCTCCTGTGACCTAAGGAGCAAAAAGCGAGTGGCCTGCCTGCCCTGTCCCAATTGTGGGTGGGGACAGTCATGCTTTCTAGTTCCCCAATCTGAGAAAAAGCATCTGTAGCTCTAGAGCACCAACTTTAAGAGAAGGGATCTAGGGCACTATGTTTTCTTGAATATTAATCTAATTAAAAAACAATTAAACACTGGGCAGAAATTTTCAAAATGAGACCACTGCTCTGGGCAGTGGGGGCCTCTCAGCAGCTGGGTAAGGCCAGAGGCGGCCAGTACTCATCACCTGCACAGTCACAGAGGCCACCAAGATGACTGAACCATGGCCTGTCTCCCCTCACTCTGGGAGGGCAAGGGCAGCAGACTTTTCCACACATTCAAGTCCTCTCCCCCTCTGTCCCTCCCACTGCTCCCAGGTGTCTGCTGTAGGAAAGCATGGAATCCAATATAGAAACTGATGAGCCTACTGAACCTTTTCACTCCCTGGGAGTTTATATATATAATATATAAATATATATAATTATATATTCATATATTTGTTAATATAAATATATAGTTATAATATTTATAAAGTATTTATATATTTATTTATATAATATATTTATTATATGTATTATATATAAAATATATAATATATATATAGGAACATTCTTAAAGTCAGGAGACAAAACCACCAGGTGAGACCCTTGGCCCTTCTATTTTTATGACCCCACTCTAGGCCAGAACCCTGATGTCTGCATGGCTTCCCAGCAATTATCAGTTCCAAGAAAGTTTCTCCCATGGAAATGAGGAACGGCAGAAGCTGTGTCCAAAGGCCAGGCCTCAGCCCAGCAAGGTTATATCTGACACCTGGGGAGCCACCTCCAGAAGCGCTACAGCCTTCCTTCTGGGCCCTTGGCCATTTCTTCTAGGCCTCAGACCCCTCTCCCAGTCACACCTGAATCCCCTTCTCCTGAGGAGAAAAATCTGAGAGCCGGCTAGGCAAGTGACTTGAATTCCTCCAAACTCTTCTTGTCCTTTGAGAGGTGAGGCGGTGCCACTCTTTGCCGTCACAAAATATCCCCTAGGGGAAGAGTGCAAGGTGTGGAACTGCGGTCTGTTTTTGAGGCTTTCTGAGGGGAACAATTCCAGATCTAAATGCTATCTCCTTCGCATCTGGACATTGGTAGACTTTGCTAAAAACTGTCGGAGGGAGCTGGAGGATGGTGACGTACCTCCTGTTTGAAACAAATACAAAATTGGGGGAGGAGGCCAGAGAGGGAGAAGGTAAGGCTCTGTAATATCTGCCTCAACATTTTCAGTGTCCTCAGAACCAAAGTGAGTGCTCCCCTCCGCAGATAGCCTCCCACAGCTGCTCCTGGGCACTTGGGAGTCAAAGCTGATCTGCTAACACCAAATGATGAATGACAAATGCTGCCCCCTGCCCCCTACAAGTCCATGAAGGACACTGGCCCCAAGGTCCACAGTCTTCAGTGATGGGCTACTTACGGGGTCACTGAAAACTGGGTCATGTACAGGCAGAAGGAGGGGTGGTGGAAGGAAGCAAGCCAGGGAAAGGCAGAAACACTGTTTCCCCCGGCCGCTGGGACCATCGAGTACTCATTCCAGTTGGCTGTGGTCCAACTTTCAGGCTTTGGGATGGGGGTGGGGGAGGACGAGGAAAGAGCCCCTGGGGAGGTGAGACTAGGCTGAAATTTCCTAAGAAAGGAGAAGCACCAATGTCACAGAAGAAGAAGGGGCTTTTGCTTAGAAGAGGCAGATTAGGGACACCTGGGTGGCTCAGTCGTTTGGGGTAACTGACTTCAGCTCAGGTCATGATCTCACAGATCATGGGTTCCAGCTCGGGGTCAAGCTCTGTGCTGACAGTTCAGAGCCTGGAGCCTGCTTGGGATTCTGTGTCTCCCTGTATCTCTGCCCTTCCCTGCTCATACTCTGTGTCTCTCTCTCAAAAATAAACATTAAAAAATTAAAAAAAAAAAAAAAAAAAAAAAGAAGAGGCAGATGAAAGGTGTCAGGAAACTTCAAACAGGAGAACTGAATATAAAGGCTCTTGACCTGGGATTTCGGAGCGTTTAAGGTGACCCTTGAGAGATCAACGTATGATGAGTGCAATGCCCTCTTTCATCAAAAACGCCTTTACACATTCCCCTTTTATTACATTTTAGGGATTTTTTTTTTTAATTTTTTTTTCAACGTTTATTTATTTTTGGGACAGAGAGAGACAGAGCATGAACGGGCGAGGGGCAGAGAGAGAGGGAGACACAGAATCGGAAACAGGCTCCAGGCTCCGAGCCATCAGCCCAGAGCCCGACGCGGGGCTCGAACTCCCGGACCGCGAGATCGTGACCTGGCTGAAGTCGGACGCTTAACCGACTGCGCCACCCAGGCGCCCCACATTTTAGGGATATTTTAATGTCTTACCTCCTGGAATGCAAAGATTGGGCTGCTTGTATTTTTTCCACACTCAGAAATATTGCTATCCGACACAAAACTGTAGTTGCTGGTTTCTTCCCATATTCTCCTATACACATACTGTGTTGTCAGTGGGGCAGTCAAAGTCATAGCAAATGCACTCAGGCAAATGGCAGGTTCTACAAAGAAAATCTTCATATTGCCTGGGTAGGTAGTTGAATTCTGTTAAAAAGAACGGGGAAGTTAGAGGAGTCTTGTGGAGTAACTGGGGAACAGAAAGCAGTAAGCAGTTCGTAAGAGATTAATTTTCACTTTGGAATAGGGTACGCAGTAAACCGGTGACTATCGTACTTAACTATTTTTAAGAGTAAGTATGACCTTTCAGGGCTCAAACCGCCTTAAAATAATCTTAGTAAGTTGTCACCCATTTTCGTTTGGAATCATCTCACCGCAGTCCCCACATTGTATATACTGCCAACCGGTTTTCAAAAGGGAAACAATGAGGTTCCTCCGGGAACGCGATAATTGCGCAACTGTTTGTTATTGTTATTTTGCTGCTCGTTAACAAGGACAGGAAGGGGGCCTTTAAAAAGCAGCTCCCGATCGTAAAGGGATTTTTTTTCTCGTTTAAACTCACCCCACGGTTACAGTCTTCCTGCCAGGCTAGGCGCAGGTCTGATCATTTTCGGGGCCGGAATCCCCGGGGGCTGTCTTCTTTGGGGGGGGGGGTGCCCTGCGCTCTCCGGGCGCCTGCCGAGCAGCAAGTGCTCCCGAGGCTGGGGCGGCCCGGGACGCGCCGGGGACACTGACCGCCGCCTGGGTCGGGGGCCGGGTCTGCGCCGGCCGACGCGCTGGGACGGGGAGGGGAATTTCCGTTGAATTCGACCAAATGCACCTGTCGGGGAAACTCAAGCTCTCGTTTTAAAGCAAACCAACCGAGCGCACTCCGGCGTCCAGAGTGACGACGGCGACAGGTCACTGCGCAGCCACCGCTCGGCTCCTCGGTGGCCCTGCGGACTCGGCCCCAGGGAGCACGGGCGGCTGCTCCCTGCGCGGTCGGCAGCCTGTCCGCGGGTCGGTGGGTGGGTCTGCGGGCCCGCTGCCGGTCGGCTCCAGACAGAGGATTAGCTCCCGCCCGCGGAGCCCTGCCGCCGACCGAGAGGGCGGGGCCGCTGGCTGCCGGGGTCGCCGCCGGCGTGGCCGTCCCTGTCCTGCCTGGCTCTTCTGCGATTGGGCCCGGTGTCTGGCTCCCTCGCGGGGATTGGTCCGCTCGACGTCGCTCCCGTGAGCCCGCCCCCAGAGGCCCCAGGCTAAACCAGCCAGAGCCGTTTGTAGGGCAGCGCAGAGGTCTCGCTTTAGGGCTCTGCAGTGGCAGAACATTTCTGGGTCAGAACACCGTTTTTCGCAGAAGCACACGGAGATCTGTTGCAAAAGTAACGTGTGTGGGATGCAGCTGCCTGCAGCATCCGGGTCGGCAGGGCAAGTGCCCTAAGAAACGCAGAAAAGGGGGACGGGGTAGGGGGCGCCCGTGCAGGGAAAGAGAGTGTTCCTGGCAAAGGGTCTGAAATGTGGTCTCTGGCTCTTCCTGGCGGTGTGACCTTGGGCAAATTATTTAATCTCTATGAACCTCCTTTCTTTGTCAAGTGGGCATAACAGCCCTACAGGATTGTTCTAATGAACCCTCAACACGTATATACAGCATAGCCTTGGGACAAAGGAGGGACTGTACCAGTGCCTTCCAACAAGCCCGCCAGGACCACACCTGAAGTTAGGTTTATGACTTCTTGTAAGGAGGAGGAATACATAAATGGGGAGCAATGGGGTATTTCAGTAGAAGTGTTAGAATTTGTCATGGGATTTGGGCATAAGTGATGTGTGGGAAGGGTTCAAGAAAGCAAGCCCCCCCCCGCCCCCCCCCCCCCCCCACCGTATTGGATGCTGTCAGGAAGTAGGGGTAATTCTATGATTGGGTGTCTTAATTCTTAGTAAGAAGGAGTGAACATAAGTGGGGGTTAAAGCCATAACTGATAAAGAAGTAGCTTACGGTAGACATTTTTTGTCATTTTTGTGGTTTAGACCATGTTCATGTTCTGTGTTCCAACTAGACTGTGGAAGCGGTCTGGTTTTTGTCTCGACCATGGTCAAAGAATGGCCTTGTCTGATGTTATCCTGTGAAATTGTTTTTATTCCACAGAACATGGTCCAGACGAGCTCATAGCAACATCAAGGTCAGTACCCAGATGTCTGAGCTGCTTTCTCTTCCTCAGTGCTCAATAAATGGTAGTGAAATCATGGAATGTTGAGTCAGAAGTCTTAGAATCGTACTTATAACTTTGCTACTGGAGTGCTACTTATAACTTGGGACTTGCCACTTACCTTCTCAACTTCTTCAAATGAGCATTTTTAAAGCACTTGTTATGCGTCTGAAACAGTAGAGCTTGGCTGTCGGTTGGAAAGAAGGTATACAAAAATGGACAGGACACAGTTTCCTAGGAAGACGGATCTTATTTTAAAACGGCAGGACGCTGTACTAAGTGCTGAATTAGGGGCACATTAGAAGTGGGATGGGCAGTGAGAGCAGTCGACTGACCAACGAGTGTTGGTCTGGAAGGGAGAGGGAGAGAGATCTGACCACTTCCCAAGACCACCAGGGAAAAGAAATGAAATAATTAATGAAGAATGCTTTTGAGAGTTGTAAAGCATGTCATAATCTTACTCTCACTAAAATAACATCTATTTTTTTTAAGTTTATTTATTTTGAGAGAGAGAATGTGTGCATGTGCATGGGGGAAGGGCAGATAGAGAGAGGAAGACAGAGAATCCCAAGCAGGCTCCTCACTGTCAGCGCCGAACCCGATGCAGGGCTCATTCCCACAAGTGGCGAGATCATGACCTGAGTCAAAATCAAGAGTTGGTTGCTCAACTGACTGAGCCACCCAGGGGCCGCAATAACATTTATTTTTGTGTTAGGTACATCCACTTTCTAAATGTTTTAGCCGGCTTAGACCCTCTTGTTGAGATAGGAGTAAAATGATCACTTCAGGTGCTTGGCCCCTGTAAAATCAAGAAGGCCAAGGTCATGCCCCAAATCTCAGTATCTTAAAGCAGCAAAGGTTTATTTACCTCTTGATCTACCTGTCCATCGCGTCACTGGAGAGCTTTACTCTCTATCATTTTCACTCACAGACACAGACGAATGGAGCCATCATCTGAATACTATCACTGGCATCAAAGCAGAGAAAACAGAATGTGGTGAATCTGACACCAGCTTTTAAAGGTTCCCCCATAGAAATGATACATACCACTTCTGCTCACATTTGACGGGCCAAAACAAGCCACAGGGCCACATGAAAAATAGAAAAAATTGAAAATGAAAAATTTCATGTGCTCAGAAAGAGGAAGAAATATCAGCAAATAGCTCTAATGACCTCCGTGTCGCCAAGGCCACGGTTTCTCACAAAGATCAAGAGAAAGGAAAAGGCATTTAAGAGATGCTCTTTCTTATGGGCAGAAACAGTTAGTATCCAATATACTTGCATGCTTTGGTGTTCCTACTCTTCCACTTGGAGAAAGCCAGGCCTTTTTAATTTACTCTCTGCTGTGTATCTCTATGTGATAATACTCATTATGCAACCTTCCTCTTGCCAAATAATATTAAATGCTTGAGTATGTATTAAAGAGGGCTTAACCAACTATCAATTGGAATCTGTCACTGTACTAGGGGCTGTCGATGCAACAAAGAAAGTTAACACGCCACAGTTAATTATCAAACATCCATTTATTTTTTTTAGGAAAAGATAAAAATACATGAAAGGAGTAAAAATGATTCTAAACCGAAGTCTCTGGATGTCATCGTAGGCCAGAGATTGTCATTCACCCACTGCTATTGTTACTCCTCACAGGTTCTAATTCAAACCCTCTTCCCTTAAAGACAGAAATCAAAAATAAAGGGTAGGCATGAGAGAGGAGTGCCCATCCACTGGGCATAGTCTCCCTGGCAGTGTTTCTGAAACATGAGTCAACAGGTCCCCAGGAGGACTTTGAATTTTCATGGTTTCAGTTCAGGATCCAGAAATTCTCATGTAAGCATATCCTGAAATTGTATTGCCACTTGATATCACCTGTATTTGTATTTCTGTTTATGATACATTGGTGCTGAGTAGAAATACTTTAATAATATCAGACTAAAAAGAAAAGAAATGGACTAAATATATAAATGGGATGCCCAAGCTAAGTGAAGACAGTGTCCTATCATGGTGTTCAAAATGTTTCCAGAGCATTCCAGGAAAAAGTGTAGGGGAATTGAATCATTACCTGACATGTGAATAGACATACCGAACTCAAAAGAACCATGCTGTACAGGGGCAGTGCCATAGTCAAGTGGCAAAGACAAAACACCATATAGTAGTTACTAGATTTCATTGATGTCAAGAGGAAAGTGGCTTTTTTGCTTCTGATAAAATCAGCAGAGTAAGATGTGATGAAAAGGCCTTAGTTATACCAATTACTACTTAGCAAGTGATGGTCAATAGTGTGCTGATAAGAGTCTAATTATACAACTCCAAGCACAAATTGTTGAAAGGGAATGTTAATCTGATCATATGACCTTAATCAATAATATGCCAAAACAGACCTTTATCTGTGTGAGAAACTCATAACCTGACTTCAGTCCCTGGCTTTCTTGACCTCTGTTACCTTGAACGCTGTTGAACAAATTCCTTCTCCTTGAAATGTTTTCTCCCTTTGGGGTCCATGACACGTCTCTATCTTTCTCCTACTTGAAGAGCTCCTTCGCTTCCTCGGTGGGCTTGCTTCCCAAATGGTACTATTCCTCAGGTTCCTTCTCAGCTGTCTTCCTCTCTGGAGTCAATCACATCCTCACTGTGATTCAACTACCAATGCAGCCATCACTTCCAAATCTCAAGCTCACCTGCTACTCTTGAACTTGACACCCAGAACTTCCACCTGAGTATTTAAAAAAGCCACTGCATAGTTTTAAATGTCCCAAACAGATATTCTCTTCTTGTAAATCTTGCAAAGGGATCAAGGATTTCCCTAGCAAATCAGAAATCCTGGCTCTTTCCCTTTAGGGTTTCAAACCACAGGGAAGGTTATAACCCTTCTGATGGGTTATAACCCTTCTGATGTGCTGGGATGGTCCTACCTAAGTTAAGTGGCCAGGAATATACAATAATGGCCCTCAAGAAGAAATCCACCATCATGACGGCAGTGGTGGTGATGGTGGTGGTGGAGTGAAAGGGCTGGGCTGGTAAGCCAGGTCAACACCAGGGCCCGTCTGGTCTTAAGAGGAAGGTCGGTTGCTCACAAAGTGATGATGTTACATCCTGTCCTGACCCACCATCTTGGACCTTGGGGTTCCTTAAGAGAAATAGTTGATTATCAGTACATGAAAATATTTGTCACTGGAGTTGTAATTGGGAACCCAGTCTCCTATAGAGTGGAGTAACCATCAGTAACCTCTCTCCCTCCAGTCTGTGCACCACTATCTGCAGTGGGTTAAGCCTCCAACCTTTAGACATGGGAGCTGGACTTCCTGTTTTCTGAACCAGCCTCACAAAAGCAGAAGTGAGAACCTTAGGCAGTCAGATCAGACTTCTCAATTTCTTTTCTGAATAACAGAAATAAACAAGATTGACTCATTTGGATAAGGTGAGCACTGAAGGGGTCTTACTTTCTGAGGAAGGGAGGGCTCAGGGAATGGTGAATGGACCTCTCATAATCAGGATAGAAGCATAAATTTGCTCTATTTGTGTGGTAACTTAAGTATGGCTTTATTTTCGACCACAGCAAGTGAGATAGGATGTATGTGAAAGCTCCTAGAACAGGGTCTGACACTTGGTGGGTATTCAGTGATGTTTGGATTTGAATCGAAATCTTGTTTAATAAGACATACATACTACTGTGTTT